CGACCTTTTTATCAGCAACAAATGTCTAGGTGATCTATGAGTGTTTGTTGTTGGGTTGATGTCGGTGTTCGCCAAGTGATAGGTCATCTCTCCACTTGTTTGAAGTTTAAAGGTGGCTAGGAATAACTTGTTATTGGAACCGAATTTCGAGGAGTGATCAGCGTTTTCCGTTTGTGTCGATGAGATTCGACACATGTCCCATAGTTGTTTCTGGTACTGGCTGAGCTTTTCTGCTTGAGTACTAAAGCCACTAGACAAAATGGCTATATCTCACTATTTTCCTTTTCAAGTTAAACTGAACAGATTCAGGTGAGACGTGTCGTTTGCTTTATGCATACTGTAGTCAGTTCTTGTGTATGTGGTATGGCATAAGCAAGTAACATGACCCTTTTTTATTCTCGCGGATTTGCTCAGGTAGACAGCACAAATACAACTCTTCAATGCTCCAGCGGCAGTATTTGCCACCCTGGTCAAAACGATTCAAACACCGGATTGCCGTTGCATTCCTTACACTACCAAACCTTACGAGAACTAGATAAATGAAGTGAAAGTGAATTTTGTAAATTCACTACAGTGAAATACGCGGTTATCGCCCAAAATATTATGGTGAGTCGTACACAAGTATCTTTTCTTACCTTTACAAAAAAATGCAAGAGAGATGCTAATTACAGAACAATATACTTAACTTTAGATGCATACTGAACGACACTAACTGGGAATTATTTACTGAGCGCACACTAGACGATACTATCACCAGTATAGCTCATTGTCCTAAATTCTACCTGAACATATATTGACCTAAATAGACATTATTCAAAAGTCTTGACCATCTCTCTTCTCATCTCAAAAAGCTACTCACAGAAGAAGAGCGGCTGTACAAATCTTAAGATAAATTTGGTTTAAAAAAATTTAATTTCTTGATCAAATCTGTACACTATTTGTAACCACGTCAAGTTAAACTTCTGTAAACATGTAGAAACTTTTCATTAAAATTACTGGTATTGGTAAGCAAAGTATTAATGTCCCTTCTGTTGATGTAAATACTCTCAACAAATCTTTCATACGCTCTTATAAGGATGATTTCTTTCCTAATGCAACAAATCATAAGGGTAGTGACTTTCATGGTTTTAACATTTTTGATATTCTGAAATGTCTGATGTCTCTAAAACCTTCTCAAAACCTTGGTCCTGATGATGTACCTACCGTTGACCTCAGAAGATTTGCTGATATTTTATGTTATCCTCGTACAAAAATTTTCAATGCTTCCGTTTCCAGTAATGTTGTGCCTGAAGCATGAAAAGACATTAAAGTTACTCCTGAACCCAAATCATGTTATGGTACCAACGTTAAATTCAGACGTATCGCAATTAATTCTTTTTTGAAATTAATGGAAAAGTTACTGTTGCACAACCTTGAACCCGGTTGAAAAAGTTCTAACGAACTCAAACATTTTGCTTATAAACAGGACAGGAGTACTTTAGTTGCTGTTGCTGTCTTATATGATAATATTGTGTCCTCCTTAGAAAAAGCGACCAAATGTGTCTGTGGTACCTTCCTTGACTACACATCTGCTTTTGACTCTGTACCTTTTGTTAAATAAGCTCTCTCTGACACAAACCTAGTTCTGGGCTGTTAACTGAGTGCATTCTTATTTCAAGCAGAATGCAATAAACTGTATATAAAAGCAAATCTTCCTCTGCCTTGCTTACTGAAGCTATAGTCCCTCAAAATGCTCTTCTCTCTCTCCTTTTATTTCTTTCTTACATGAATTACCTCTTTTGGATGAAATCAACTTTGTCAAATACGCTGGTGATCTGACCTTCCCGTTGCGAATTACGTCCCGATCTGACTGTTTCAAACTTAATAACTTTTTTTGATCATCAGCCAATGGTTTAAGCTAAGTGATCTTACCTTAAATGTAAGACAATCAACATTACCTTCAGGCATAAACGTGATCTACAAGAACTGGTTCGTTCACATGATGCTTTTAGCAAAGAGGGCACTGAAACAGAAACTAAGTCCAGCATAAAATACCTTCTGACCTTAAATAATCATCCCGTAGCTTGTTGATTTCTAAGAAAATGTTCCGTCTGACCTACTGCATCAATAAGTTAAGAGTATCTAAAACCACTCAACCTCTACTTTTACAGTATCTTACATTATTGTCCTTTACTGCTTCCCCTTAGTCTTTCCTGGGCTACTGAAAAAAGGTTATCAGTATGGCAAGTGGTGTGCAACCTAGTCAGATTGTTACTACATTAGTCAATAGACATCTCAACTCATGTGAGAAATGGTCCAAATCCATATTGTTTGACCCGCAACAACCCCTCTATTTTCAACTCTCCTTGCATCTCATTGGAGAGGAATAGAAATCATTATAAAAGATTATATACTGGTACAACTAAGTATAAAAACTCAACGAAAACATGTTTGGCCCCCGTCCAATGTGATAGAGATAATGTCAAACAAAATCATTGGCTCTTTTATCCTCTCCTATTTGTAATTTATGGTGACACTATTTCAACTAACTTATCATTTTAGATATTAACACTATTATCATTATTTTACACTTTTCGTACATCTTTGACTTTATTGTTACTGTTGATACCAAAACAGCTGTTATTATCAATCCTGTATTATTATTTTTCTATTTTTGTTTTGCCGTGGAAATGGTGGAAATCCTACCCTGTACCATAAGTATACTGTTTGGGAATTAAGCAAATTTCTATTACTAATTGAATAAGGACACTTGGGTTTTGCATATGTATATGTCAGCGACACAACATGCGTCCGAATCCCGAGATACCTGTTGTCCGATCGGTCATGAGATGTGGACATTGGAAGCTGCAATAGGATTTCATCATCGTGGTTTTAAGAGATTTGGAACAGTATTCCAATGACTTCTGGTGCTAGAAGTAGTCACAGTTTTTAAGGAAGTTGAAGAACCTCCTTGTGGTATAGTATTAACTGTGGGGAGAATGAAAGAAGATGGTAGGTGATGGCTAAGAGAATTTTCCGCACTACTAAATGTGAGTGGATAACTCCTGCTTTCCGTTTTCCCACACCGTGAAAGTCGATGCCCTGGAGTACTCTGAAGAGAAAAGTGATTGGTGTAGCGTGGCCGTAAGGGCCGGTGGATAATTACTTGAAGTCAGTCACATACAGTCTGTTTGTACAGAAAATCCTCCATTTTGCTATGGATCTCCACAAAGCAAGACCAGATGTTAGAATTTTGAAACTAACTTCTGCCAACACTCCTTCCTAAAGCAGAAAGGCAACATAGCTTGTCTTTCAGGAAAGATACCTTGCGGCTGTTAAGCATCTATCCACCGCTCTCAAATCCACAACACAGCATGAATAACTTGCCCTGTGATGTTAGATGCTTTAAGCTTGATCACCTTCCAACCAACCTTAATAAAATGGTAAGACGCGTCGGAGTATTTTTCACAATGAACGTACCCCTTTGAAAACATTGATTTTAGTTCCTAGTCCATCCCTAAATGAATCTGTTCTGAATAGTTAAGGTTGGTATCCATAAATTTGATTGCTTTCAAGTCACGAGTAGGGTACATATATATACAGAATTGAAAGTACAGTGAAATAGCTGATTCTCAACTGCTTTCTATTGGTAATTTACGTTGTTCGGGACACATGTATACGCTAAAGATAGATATCTGTCGTGACAACGATAAATAAAAAAAACAAGAAAACCTGTTTCAATAATTTTATTTTAATGGTGGTATAGTGCGGCAGAAGTTTTATTCTCCTCTACAAAATTGCATTTAGTGAACATGCTAGGTATGTGAATTTTATTTTGCCAAAATGTACTCGAGATATTGATTTTGGTGAAACAGTTTGTTGAATATTTCGACAAAAAGAATTATTTTTCAAAATCCGTCATAAAATGCCTTAATTTGTCGAATGAACCCTGTGATCATTATCTTACTTTTGCTACTATAGCGAATCGTGCAGGTAAAAATTACCAGTTTGGTTCAAATGCCTAGTTTTCACTCATAGTTAACTTTCTCTAGCTGACTCCGATATCGGAGCATATTCCATCTTTTATTGAGTAAATTCCTACAATCACTCTGTAAGAGGTGACAGCTCAGTGTCAAATCATTATGTAAAAGTCCTGTATTCAATCAGATCTAGTCATAATCCTTCAAGATCTTTAATTCTTATGACAGACAAGCAGACCCCCGTAGAAGGCGTACTTTAGATGTCTTAATATTGTCTTTAATTTATACAGAGGCGCCAATCATGTCCCGTGTGCCTTCCTTGATTATACATCTGCCTTTGACTCTGTATTTAGGCCTCTTTTGTCAAACAAGCTTTCTGCGACACAACCAGGGTGCTTTTAGTACTTGAGAGCTTATTAATTTAAAGACTTGATTACAGGCAGTAATTCCACAATACTTAGTTCAGTCTCGCTTACCAAGGTTAGGATATACGAGCAGCAATATCCGCTCATACTTTGCGTAGTCGTGAGGTGACATTCCACTTTTTTCAGCACTCACTAAGCATATGCTACTTGTCGGAAATACCATCGAAAAATTCATTAGTGGCTTCTGTTTACGAAAAATAGGGGAGTGTCTAACAAAAACTCGAAACGTGCTTTTTAAAACTAAATAGCACAACTCGCTTTTATCACTTACGGTAGAATGCTGACTTTGTCAACAGGTTATTCAAACTGTAGCTGTTCTAACCAGAGCTAAGATACTGGTGACTTATATCATTTAGCAACAGAATGGAGTAACTGAGTTTGATGATCACTTTGCCCATGTTAATACACCAAGGTCAACACACTCATGTTTGGGTAACTTTCCAGCAACCGATTCGCATGCAAACTGCGATCTTTAAATACCTGATACAACACAGTAACTCACATAATGATACATACAACCCCCCCCCCCCGATGCTCGAGGTTACATCAGCACACGGATCTCATGATAAAGCACTACTGAGTCATATTTATAGTAAAGCTAATAATATATATTGATGTCCAGGCATCGGTGGGACAGAAAAGGGTCCAAACTCACAATCCAGTATTTCTGTAAGAAAACGATACGGAAAGTTTATAAGTAAATCTTTATAATACTCCCAATCCATACAACTTCAATAAAGCAAAGCGGTAAAGTTTGGAAATTGTTCTACAGAATCATTTTTGGTCGGTACTACATGACAAATTAAGAAGTTTGGCTATGCTAGCAGTGTTTTGTGCCTGTCTTATGGTTGGTCGATCAATCATGCGGCCACGGAAACTGAATGCTCCTGCGTTTGAAGGGTCCCCATACACGTGTTTAGATGCTTCGTTAATCAGATCAATGGACCATTCCATTTGTGATTGAGAAGGTGAGAAGCTTTGGTTGACACATAAGAGTTGTGTAGGATGGATAACTTGCTTGCCGTGGAATCCTAAACGAGCGCCTTGTTCACAATTGGCCTTCAATTTATTAAGATCTAAATCAGTCTACTCAGGAAATTATACAGTTTACCTTTAAAATCTATGTCTACCATATCAATAGCAGCAAGGTCATGTGCTCTAGCAACAACTGGAATGTACTGTCTAGGATAAGATAGTTCTGTGTTAGCATCACTTCTGTCGACACCTATAATATGTAATAAAAAGTGATGTAGCAATTAATTTGGGCAGACAAATCACTAATGAGAATGAAATATGAATATGAAGCTTGGTGACTACTAAAATATCACTGTACGTATAGATTCGATAAAAAGATTGCCTAATATTTCTGAAATTACTCAGCATCAATGGACATAAAAACAACAGTAATTACTGTCTGTTAATTGGATTTGTACGAGATATTATTTAAACCACGTTTGCTGAAACTTCCTTTCAGTTCATAAGAGTAAGCCTCTCTAAGAGTCTTGCTTAGCAAATATACTTTTATATTCATATACCATGACCACAATATGTATAAACCGACTTAAGATTGAATTTCGACAAACCTATTCGTTCTTCATTACATCTACATTCAGCGACAGTTAAGTCGAATAAGAAAAAGTGAACGAAGTCAGTCAGCGTTCGGTAGGTTACTGTTTATACATTTATGAATGAAATTAGCTTCAAAACTAACGTAAGAACGGTGATGTACCCTTTATTTTCCAGGACAGTATATTAAAGCATTTACCACTTCGGATTTATTTGATTTTAGCTCTACGTGAGGAATTAGTCTAAAGGATTCAGTGATATACAGTAGGTCAGTTATCGTTCATCAACTTGTGTGTGGAATATCTACACGGCAGCTAACGTTCCTCCTCTCCTTGTCTATGCTTTTGAATAGAACGAATTCTCCATGAAAGCCAAAATAGGGTTGTAAATTTTACCGTCATTGCCAGGACATATTCACCATATTTTGAAAATTATAAAATATAAATCAGACGAGGTAAACAGCTTTGTATTCGTCTCATTTATTGTGTGAAATAAAAGTAAGTACAATATGTTAGTTCTTCTGATTGAATCTCATAGATATGGTTCTTTTGTCCTGAAGAAGTTACAAATCATCATGCACACATGTAAGCGAGGAAGAAAAAACAATGTAATGGAGTATCAGTAGAAAATTTGCAAGTTATATAAACTGAGAAGTAATATATGATTACTAAGAAAGCTTAGTTATTCGACTTCGGCTGCATTCAAAAAACAATTATTGAAATAAAAAGCTTGAAATATAACAAGTAAGTGCTACTAAGTCAAGTGATGGAAATTGTCGAGAGAATTTATATTATCTGGGATTATGAGTTTGCCGATTTTAGAAAGATATGCTGACACAAACCAATATATGCAAACAAAAAATACAAAGTCAAGAGGACAACTAATCACCCTATGTGCATTGTATATTGATGGAAGCCTGTGGCATTCGGGTACTTCTTGACTGACTACTTATACATACCTTGTGCAAATTTAATTACGAAAAAGTTGTAACGATTCGAAAATATGTTCCCCAAAGTGTATGGTGTAGAAAAGTATCAGGGTTTTTAAACAGTACCCGTAATGTTGCCAGAAGATATATATATATACATATATAGAATGTGTGCGTTCTAAAGCATACTTGTATATCATCCTATACATTAAAAGAAACTCAGTAATATGTTAGAAACATTTAGGCTTCGTTGAAAAGCATATAAATTAATATAAATAAAGACGTAAAATCCAGTAAGTTACCTAGACTGACACAATAATCATCTGAGCCGAAAACAATACATTTAAGAGGATGTTTAAATGCCTTGGCCTGTTCACAGATCTCTGGTAACTTCAGTACAGCTTTGCACGATTCAATCAACGCAATTAAACCAATAGATGGATAAAACGACAATGTACTTTTACGAAGTACTTCATCTATCGAGTGGTTCAACTATTAATCATGAAAAAAAAAATAAAGAAGTACATTATGCCAATCGTGAGTGTTGTTTCAAGTATATTAGCTGCCAAATTTGAATGATCGAGCGTCGGTGGCACAACTGTTAGGACGCCTGCCAACTATGCACATGGTCCGAGGTTCGATCCCCGGTAGACGCACCTGATATCAATGGTCTGTCTGATAAATTCAGGTTATGGATATCACATACTGAAAATTACATAATTGTACCAAAACACTGTGTCGAATCAAGCTATAATAAGATTTATATATATATATCCATCGTACACACTGGGGTATAGAAAATCCTGTTATATTGAATGAACAACTAATATAAAAACGAAAAATAAATAAGGGTGCCTAGAATATTTTCGCAGTTAACTGTATCATATATATTTTCGCCCACAGAGCAGCCTGCCCCGTTACTTTGTGCATACCTATTACCAGTCTGACTTTCCTCTTCTGAACTCTTTCCAAAAGAACTTGAAACAGTAATCGATTCAGATTTACACACTTCATTGATTTTACTAACATGTTTCTAATTATATATTCTGACAATGTATACAAACACCACAATACCTAACGGTTTCTCTAGATCCCCAATCTTTGTGAGATAGGAAAAATTTCAACCGCATATATAAGAAAACCACGCTTAGTTTACTAGCTTGCTCCTTTTCTAGCCAGTATCAAGCCTGGGAAAAGATGAAGGGTTAGTAGTGGGTCAGAGACCCTACCCAGGAATCAAACTGCAACAGAAACTCCAACTCACAAGAAAAATATTAAAAATACAAAAAAAAAACGTAAAACAACAAACTTATTTCTCTCTGGAATCCGAGAGGCGAAATGACACAGCGGACTGGTGAAAGCCTTCAGGATGCCAGTCAGCTAGCTGATGTGCATTCTCTCGATGAAAGCAAGAATAAGAATGGGGACGTGGAATGTACGTACAATGTACGAAGCCAGCTGGGAAGGCTGCTCAGGTAGCCAACGAAATGCGAAGACACGGCCTACAAGTGCTCGGAACAAATAAAACAATGGGCTGATCACTTTAAAGGATTCTTGATGCGACCATTACCTGCAACTCGCCCAGAAATACCAAAACAATTTAGAAACACAGGGTTGGGTTATTCACTATGTTAGATAACGACTGATACCCACTGCACAAAAGATGGCTTATGTAACTCAGTAGCCTAGTGGATAACGCCTTAGCGTTCGAAATTGTGAGGCCGGGTTAGAGTCTCAGTGGAAACACTACGCCTTACTGGAAATAAAGATACATTCAGGTGATAATTCACATATGGGATACACCACATCGATGTCTGATACCTTGATGTTGTGGTTGAACTTGCATATCGCAATAGTCCAATGAGTTAATTAGATGGAATGAGTGTTAAGGGAGATCAAAACATGCCAAAAAGGTCGCTTGGATAGCTTCCGGAATAAAAGTAATTACCATCAATATGTTGGCGTTATTTGGCGAAGTCGTACTGCTAGCCAGTGGCAATGTAACAGGAGTGGGGTGTTCCTGTCAGACAACTAGCAAGCTAACTATGCTGCTTTTCCGTTATGGAGAGGGGTTAGAAAAAGTCAATGTCGAAAATTCTACATTCTAGCTTACTTCGAGGTGGTAAAATCAAAATGAGCCTACAACTCCAAAAATCGACTAAAACAGGCCGTGTATTACCGTCCTCAGGCACTTGTAGTTTAGGCTCTGCGTTCACGTAACACTAACGCTTCTTCTTTTTCAGTTGCACGAAGAAGAAATCATATTCCACAGTGTGGGCAGCCGAAAGGTAATAAACACCTACACATTTCCAGCTGAACGAACCCGTTGAAAGAACGAAAGATTCAGATACACGTCGAAGTACTTTCGTAATCTCTCCTTACCTCCCAACAGAGTGCAGTACGAACAAAGTAAAGAATGTGGTAGATCAAAAACTGTGCAGTTAGCTGCTAAAGACAATGTGCTAAGATAGAGGTGTTCTAGCAAGTGACTTCAACACACAAGTAGCAAATCTGTGCCATTCAGAAAAGTATATGGGCAGTACATATGAAATCACATGCTGACAAACAGACAATAGTGACCTTTTTTACAGCCCTTTCTGGATAATCATCCGTTTCTGGTCAGCTTCGAATTTAAACATGAAGAAAGACGTTTTCTAAAATGGAGAGCTCAATCATCAAATCGATAAAGGACTGAAATAGATCACGTAGCGATAAGATAACTACGGAAATAGTCGATAGAAGATTGCTGCCCATTGAAGAATACCTTTATAGATTCCAATAAAGCATCAGTTCGCGAAAGTATGTGCACGAAAGTGAACGGACATAAAAAATCAGGCAACCACGAAGCCACAATGCCCCCAACTTTCAGACGAGAACATAATTTATATTTACAGTAGAAATAACGAAAAGCATATCTGAGAATTACAGCAACGCATCCAGCGGAAGCCTGACGTATTATTCAAACTTTTGGAAAACAGCGATAAAGGTTGTTGATAGTCTCTAACCAAAGTTTAGTAAATGCTAGTGGCTTCCTGCTGCTTCATCCATAATGACGAACGAAAAAAGACTGTTTCTGACCAGTTCCGGATATGATGAGAAGCGAAAGCTGCTCGAACGAAAACTGACCAGAAGTCTCAAAAAAGCCTATGAGCAGTGGTGGGAGGCAAAAGCCAAACAAATTGGAAAGGTATCGGCATTGGGTAACACAAGACAACTATTTAAACTCATCAGGAAAAAACGCTGCAAAAGATAAATCACAATAGCTTTCCGAATAGAAGCCTGCCACACTGGAGATAAAACTATGAGAAGCGAATTAACCTACCGATAGCCATATTCATTCTGATCAGCGTTGTCCACTGTCCACATTTCTTTAATTTTATCATAGAGGTACTAATAGATATAATCCTAGTCAAATTTGGTGATTTAGGGATGGGTTTGTTGCCAGAGCACAGTGTCGTATACTCAGAGTATGACGATGACAATAGTCAATCTAGATGAAGATGCTGACAAAATGTCAAGTCTCCTAAACACCTTGGGAAGGTGTCTTGGTTGATTTGACATACAACTCACTCCTGTCGATTGTTAGACGATGTGAAATTAGCCAGCCTACATCATCTGTGCTGTGGGCATGATATTTAGGTGTTGATCGAAGGACAGATGTACTGCACAGCACAGCTCTGAGATAAGGAAGACCCGAAGTGACTCTCTGTATTCAACCAAATATATTTGCCTTCAATCCCCCATGCTGAGTGTTTCAATGAGACGATTGATACTGAAGTTGGACGTAGGTTGTTAGGTAAGAACGGAAAGTAAGTGAGTGAATTTGTAAAGCCGTCATGTGTTACTCATGCCCAGCCATCGTCATCCACATTGAATAATATTACCTGACATACAATTGGTTTAGAAAAGTGTTAGGGGTGGTCAAACCAAAACATGGTTTAACTCCATGAAGTCTGACCGTTTGTTTGAACTACTTGGGGAGGTGTAGACTGCATGTTTGCGATCCTGGAGACTATTATTGATTTTTTTGTCCCTAATCGTTCTAGGTGACTCAGATACATCCACTCAATATGAACTCCCACGGCCATCAAATTCCTCATAAATTATTCTTCCTCACGTACATCTCTGTTCGTAATGGTTCTTTTGGAATTTTCTCTACCTTTGTGTGCTTGTATCGGTCGGTCGCTTTCCTACTTAGAACTTTGCACATATGTGCGCCAGTTCAAGTCGCCACACTCCCTCCATGTAGCACACAAAGCAAGAGAAGAAAGTAGAAGAAATGCATAATATAGACAGTAAACAGAGGTGTGAAACAAAGGAATAGTAATAACGAAGAACAAAACAGTTTAATTGGAAATCATAAGTCACAAGGAGTGGATGCATCTGCGCCATTGAGAACGATTTTGAGCCATATCACCAATTGTTTCCAACCATTGGTTTTTGCCGTCCCGAGGACCCCAACCAGAACGTCTACACCTTCCTTCGTGGCTTAGACTAACTGTTGTACATTTCACTGACTGGTGCCATGTTTTCGTTTGACCACCGCTAGCTCTTTTCCAGCCTGACATTTTATCAGCTAACATTGCCCGTCGAGGAAGGCGATGACTAGGCATACGCAACACATGTCCTAAACATCTCAGTCGAAGTAATTTCAAAGCCTCATCGATTGATTTCCGCTCCTTACCTAGCACTCGTCCGAAGCCTAATCTCAATATTGCTCCCTCTATTATACCACTTCACACGGGAGATGAAACGCAAGCACCTATGATCAAAGACAGCTAGCCTTTTCCTGTCTTCCACTCTCAATGACCATGTCTCACAACTAGCCATATAAGAGGATGGGGCGGACTGCTAAGCATTACATATGCCATTTGATCGACAGTCAGCTGGATATCACATCTACGCCAGATGCTGCGTAAACTGACATATGCGAAACTAGCCCTCTGTATTCGTACTGAGATTTCGTCTGAGATCAGCCCGTTGGGGCTGATGGTACTTCCCAAGTAATTGAAGCGGTCAACGTGTTCTACCACTTCACTTCCTATTTCTAATCTAGGGGTCGGTGTAGTCCAATCCTGCAATATCATCTTACATTTTACAGGGGCGAATCGCATGCGAAACATACGAAGATTGCAGCTCAAGGTGTTCAGAAGATTCTGCATTTTGTCAGCGTCCTCGTCTAGAAGGTCTATACCGTCTGTATATTCTAAGTCAACGAGATTATTCCCTGGTAGCAAGTCAATCCCTGATTCTCTGAAGTGAGTTAGGGTTAGGTCCATTAGTACGTCTATGATGAAATTAAATAGAAATGGGGATAGCGGACATTTAAGACGGTTACCACTAGTTGTCACCAGTTCAGATGATAACTCGCCATAAGCCCTCACCTGGCTGCATGAATTCGAGTAGAATGCCTTGATCAGTGCAATGTATTTTCGCGGCATCCTCTTTACAGCCAAGCATCGACATAGAACACCTCGGTCGACAGAATCGAATGCTGCCTTTAGATCAAGAAATACGACGATTGTTGGACGCCGGTAAGAATGCCTATGTTCCGGAATTTGTCGAAGGGTGAAGATATGATCAATACACCCTCTTCCTGGCCTAAAACCTGCCTGGTTTTCTCGTGTTTGTGCCTCCCGAGTACCACTTAGTCTAAGCAGTATTATTGAGCCTAGGATTTTAGATACTATATGAGTCAAGCTAATCCCTCTGTGATTATCACAAGAAGACTTGTCTCCTTTCTTGTATATATCGGGATGATCAGTGACTTACACCAACCCGATGGGACTTCTTCTGATTCCCAGACGCTGCCTAGAACCTCAGTTGATGCAGACAGTAAACTGTCGCCATCGTATTTAAATACCTCTGGAGTCATTCCATCAGGTCCCGCTGCTTTGCCTTGCTTCAGATTAGTGACAGCTTTAGTAACCTCAGTTAAGGAAGGAGGACCTGTGTCTATATCCCATTCAGGGAGGTGTTGGATGTTCGACAGGTTAAGTGTGGCTATAGGCCAATTAAACTGCTCCTCATAGTGTTCTTTCCAGCGTTTCAGTCGTCTATCCTGGGAGCTAATTATGGTGCCATTTTTCTCCGAGATTGTTTCGCTTATCATTTGCCTTTTACCACCTGTTTCCCTGATAAGCCTGAATAGTTGTCTGGTGTTGCCTATCGCCGATGCTTTTTCCATCTCTTTCGCCTTTGTCAACCACCACTGTTCACGGTCGTTGCGCAGAATTTTTTAGTCTTCGTTTAAGTACCTTTCACTCCTCATCATAATCGGAGCTCGCTGGAATCAGTCTTCTTGCGTGCTTGTATGAAGTGTGACAACTTGAACTACTGCACTTCTGGGTATATTTTCTACACTGCGACTCAGACAGAAATATGGATTAAACCGCTCGTCCTGTGTTCCACTTCTAGCGATCGCCAACGAAGTTACATACCTAAATGTTTACTGTCATTAAGAACACTTAAGCACTTCGTCCTTCTGTGCTTTGGAGCAGCCAATAATCTGTTGCTCAGTAAATAATCAGGTAATTGGGGTGGATTGGACATGTGCTGTGTCGACCTCCAAGTGATTTCACACTGAGTTCCCTTGTGTTGAAACCGAAATCAAAAGAGACCGTAGGAGCATCTGAGTGTGATATATAGATCATATTAAGAGTAACTGAAAGCTTGTTGGTAGTCACGGTGCCAGTTAAAAGTGACCGCGGAGTACCTAGTGTAATAGATTTGTGCCTCTGAAGCAACGAACAAATGATGACAGCAATAGATTCATTTGATACGAATGAAGAATACTTGAAATTGCTGGATCTCCTATTTTGACAGTCAAACAAACAAATGTTGTAATGTGGATTTCACTTAATTCATCAATAAAAATTGCCCCTTATAAACTATTCCATGTAACGACAGTCCGTATCTTTTAGGCTTGATTTACACTGAAAAAAGAATTAAAGTTTTAGTTTCATATTTCAAAACATAACAGATTATTATATTGAGAATAAGAAGTAATCAGAACTTCTCTAATAACTGTGTTCTTATTATTGGTCTTATCAGTTGTGGACAAAATAAATAATTTTCTTTAATGCCTAGTGTAAAATGTGCATATAGAAGTTAGCTAGTCTAGTGAAACTACATGTCCAGAACAATTTCGCCGCACGTTAACTTTTCCATGAGGACACTGAGAATTTGTGCTTTAAGTCAAATTTTAACAGAAAGATTATATGCGAATATGAAGTAATTACAGCGGTGGCTTATTCAAGTAGATATCTTTTTAAAAAACACCTTATTACTAAGAATGTAGTGTAATTTAGAATATTAACCTGACTTTTTTGTAAGTATCTAGATTTAAAAACAGTTTGCTACATTTTCGTCTACACTGAAAAAAATACTTTGAGCATAAGTAATATACAGTACCCAGAGAACATAACTAAATAAAGTTATTTAAATACGTTAGATTGAAAAATCACCACATGATAAATCAGTCATCAGTCCGATCAATGAAATTTCACATGATTATTAGTAATTTTGTTGCGTGAGAAAATACCAGTCAGAAAAAGACGATTTTTCTTACCCATTTCAAATCATCAATATCTTCAACTTTCGGAAGACATATCATATCTGGACCTGACCACTTAGACTCCCTTGAGACTGCAGAATCAACAGCAGCATTCAGGATTGTCGTTAAATCATCTACAGCAAAAGGAGTCTCTCTTCCATTGATACGCACAACCAGTTGTCTTCTCAGTGTCTCACGAAATGTCTTGAAAAGTCCACCATTTGGAGAAGTTATGGCTTGAGATATTGTATTTCGAGCAACAGGCTAAGAAAACAGAAGCAACAAAGGAAAAAATTAGCTAAGTGATAATAGAAACCGTATCTGTGCTGCATAGGGAGCATGGTCTACTTATCATGCTCATTATGAGAAAAAAAGTCAACCTGATGATAAACAACGGAGTAAGAGGTAGGGAAATTAGTCGATTAACACGAAAGCAGTAAGAAGTTTAACAGTCGAAGAAAGAGGTAGAACCAAAAAGTTTTATCAATAAACAAGTTTACCTTAAAAAGAGTTTCTTTTGAAAAGAATAAAACAAGTATGAAAAAACCATTCTAAGTCCAAAAGTGGTGGTTGCTGAGTAGAGTGCAGGTGTAATCAAAATTATGCACATGAAAATAACAAGAATAAAAGCCAAACTAATTCAACAGTTGGTTATATGACAATGCCACGTGTCAGTCAGGTGACCCACAACAGAAAACACACTCAGTGAGACGTTTGAGGTGAATACAGAAGTGAGACAAGGCCAGTGCATATTATCACTGATGATACTACTAACTGTGGTTATGCGTCAGACACGACTTGCGACGGCAGTAAGACAGGAATACTCTAGACCACCGATTAGAAGACTAGAAGATCTGGATTTCGCAGATGACTTCTGTTTAATGTCACACAAACTCGAAGACTTGTAGGCAAAAGCCAACAAACTGAATGAAGAAGCAGGCTGACAGCGAAGACAGGACGCCAGGTGGACATAGAGAAGATGGACACAACCAACAGACACGACAGACAGCACCAACCACTATCAAAGTGAGACGTTTGGTAGAGGTTACTTCCTGGCTTCACTTATCTAGGCAGTCAGTGTCTTTTCAACCACAGGTGGGGCGAATGAGGATGTCAAAGCCAGCCAGAATCGGAAAGGCAACATATGTCTTCATCAACCTGAAATCAATCAATTTGGAAATCTTCTGCACTCCCCCGCATAAACAACAAGATTTGGATTTTCAACGCAAATGTGAAGTCAGTTAGTTCTACTATATGGGTCAGAAACTTGCACTGCGTGTCACAAAAGCATTTCCAACAGACCACTGCGGACTTTTATCAACAGCTGCCTCCGCTCTATGTTGAAGATCAGATGGCCAGAAAGAATAAGAAACAGGAAACCATGGGAATAAACTAACCAAGAACTTATAGTTCAAAAAATATGTGACAAAACGTGGTGATTGATTAGGCATACACTGAGGAGACCGTCGAGTGACATCGCGAGCCAGGCCGTCACTCGAATGGAACGTGAATAGGAAACGACGACTGGGAGTCAGTCGGATGGTGATATGAGGCGATCGTGTGGGTATGAGATGAGAGATCGTGGGCAATCGTGTAGCTAGCTGATTAGGATTGTATAAAATAGAACAAAGTGGAGATTTGTTGTTGAAGCCCTATGTTCCACTTGGAACCCAAGGGAAGAAAAATAATTATACGGAGTTTTAAAATAAGTGCAATATATATCTTATTTTTTTTTATTGCTTCACGTTCCCAGTAGAACATAGGGCTCCAAGCTAGAGGCTTGAAGTTTCTGTAGCAGTCTTTATTTTTAGAGGATGGGGTTGCTAACCTCATGCCCAACCTGCTCTCTTTGCCAGTTCTATTAGTGACTTAGCGAGGTAAAGGAGTGCGTCGGCCGGGGACCGAACCCCGGACCATGTGCATGGTCGGCGAACATCCTAACCGCTGTGCCACCGACGCACAATATATCACATTAGCAGCTCTTTATTTGTTTGTTATTAGTTGAATGCATAAAAGTGAATTACAATGAGTCTAGTTCTCATAATAACAGCACATTTTTGACTTTCGTATTAGCAGCACTGCAATAACATTTCTTCCTGTAATCTGAATTCTTCTGATATATCCGTTTATACATGAATAGGGAAAGCAAAGATTTACAGTGTAAAAATATTTATTCTCATTGAATGCATTTTCACAATGCATAGACGTATTTCCATACTGAATCAGTCACACTTAGATATAAGACATATAAAAAATAAAATAATGATTGTGGAGAAACATCCACTGACCGTTAGCGCCTAACTTGTGAATGTGATCAAGCTTCCATGTTGGAATGACCCAAATAGCCCAGCTTGTTGGATAAACTGTTTCGTAGCGTCTCATCATTTCATATGCGTTGGCCAGTCAAACCAAAAGCATTTGGAAACACAGGGTTGGGTTATTCACCATGTTAGCGGTCTGAGAATGAAGCCTCACTGTCTGCGGACAAATGCTTAACAGAAGTAAGGTACATCTCCCGAACGACAAGCAATGCTGTTTCCCACAAAAGGAAAGGGGGTTAGCAACCGTCAGCCTCAAAAATTGTATGCCACGACCAAGTACACATGAAACATTTCAAACGATTTCCAACCGTGAAACTAACAGCCTCCAAGCAATAGTATTCCAGGCTCCCCACGAACATCAACCAGAGAGTCGATACTTAATAACGTGGAATGAACCAACAGTAACAGCATTAAAGCATTTCTGTAACGTATCCATTCCAGTCATATATTATGATAGCATTTTTTTTGTTCAAAGTGAAGCTGGGGCATCAGAGACAAATTTGTATTACACTAGGTTCTCCACCATCACGTTGATCTGGCTTCGTAACTACCGACAAGCCTCCAATTTCTTTTCACATGATCTTCATATCACCCGCAGACGCCCAACAAGTTGATTCTCTCATTAAGTTTCCACACAAGACCACACAAGAGTCTACTCACCACACGTTCAATCCACCTACATTTCTTCCTGCTTATCACCTAACCTATACGTTCTTGACCAGTTCGATATCTACAAGTGTTCCTTGTTGTTTACCCCTTCAATACGCCCTTTGGATCTTTATTATTGAGTCTGTGAAGGCATTTGTTGCTGAAAGTTTGCAGCCTGTTCGAAATTCTTTCGGTGACTCACGGGCGAAATCACCGAAACATATAGTAGCACTAAATTGACATTAGTGTTGAGTCAATCTTGTTGTTATGAATGCTGTAGGTTACTGGTTCTAAATGCATGACAGCCTTCAATGTTGTTCTTAACATGATACTAGCTACAACCTCAGTGTGTTTCTTGTTGTCCTACGGTGACTGAAGTAGGTTATTCCCCGTCTAGTTAGCAATGTGGAAAACCAACTTTTACCCTACCACAAGTTAGCGTTGGGACATTCCCTTTCCCAGCATACTAGGTTCGAGTCCACGCTTCCTCAAGATGAGTACTAATGTTATTACTCTTGGTGTGTAAATATGTTTACTTATCTTCCCTCTAGGCATAGACTTCATGTTAGAGAAGTGGGACACTTAGACTCCATGGCTGCTTGTCTTCCACTTCCGTTCGGTCACCAGTGTAAGTGTTTATTTTTATTTTTTATTTTATTTTATTTTGATTACAGCTTGATGCCCACACTGTATTTTCAGTACAAGTATGGCATTTTCAGCACGGATATCGGTAGCCCAAATTTTGCAGGCCGACCATAGATATCGGGTGTGCGTTGGCAGGGGATCGAACTCCGGACCATGTGCATGGTCGGCGAGAGTCCTAACCACTGTGCCACCGACGCACAGATTAATAAAGCATGATCGGAGCACACGCAGTAGCTTCAGAACGAGTGGTTACCTCTCATCGACCTTTTTATCAGCAACAAATGTCTAGGTGACCTATGAGTGTTCGTTGTTGGGTTGATGTCGGTGGTCGCCAAGTGATAGGTCATCTCTCCGCTTGTTTGAAGTTAAAGGTGGCTAGAAATAACTTGTTATTGGAACCGGATTTCGAGGAGTGATCAGCGTTTTCTGGTTGTGTCGATGAGATTCGACACATGTCCCACATGTGTTTCTGTTACTGGCTGATGTTCTCTACTTGTATATATATATATATATATATATATATATATGTCTATATAAATATATGTTGTGCTATCTATGATATTGTTCTATTCCAGTTACTGAAAACCTGATTAGATCAAGCAACAAATGGAACATAAAACGAACCTCTTCCTAATAAACTGCTAACATTTAAATAAGTTATTAGTTTAAATCTGTCTGCATATCTACAGAAATGACTCGCAGTGATGGGAAATATGTAGGAAGAGACATTTACAACAATTTGTGGCGTTCTAAGAAAGTTTCAAATTTTGCGAAAATGTGTACAAACGTTGGAGATGGTTGCTGAGAAATCTTAAACCATAACGATCAGCTTGCTGTGTCGATAAATAGAAAATAAATGCACCGTTTATTTAATTAGAAATGATTGTACGAACCTTGTTATCGATAGCAACAGCATCTTCACAGTCAAGAACAACTAAATCAGGAATGTGGTACGATAAAGAAGCTGCTTCTCTATGGTATTCGGCCATTTTATTAAGCATTTTCATTCGATTACCAGGCACATAGAAAAAAGATCGCCATAAACATTCAGTGTTGTTGAATGACTCTCGGCTACTACTGCAGGAAGCAGACTTATTTTGATGCACACAATATTTGCGTACGGCAGTACCTGACAATCCAGGAAGTCTAATTGCTTTGAGAGCGAACTAGAAAAGTAATAAGCAGAAATAAACTCAAAATTTCAACAGGAAATTGACAGTTTGAATATTAAAATTGAATGTCCTGAAATAGAGTAACACTAAGCAATTCATACACGGATTTATATATAAATTAAAATTTTGAAACCACAACACACAGTCATTACATTCAATTTCCATTAACATAGAGCAGTAATTTATTCCAGCACCATGTGACTGACTGAAAATTCATACATTTCTATCTATTTACGTATGTCTGTTCTTTCTAGAGATTGAAAAATCACAAACTAGAGAACAATGACAGATACATTTGATTCCTACGTTAACTTTTTTTTACACGAAACTATTCCGAGAAAATTAACTTTTAATAAAAGCGTCAGAAAGTGGATGATAGCTGCCTTACCATGTATAATATTTGTATGTGCTAACGTTTGTTTGTTCAGTGGTCAACAACCACTTGGAGAAGGTGACTTAACCTAATACACAATTATCACACAATGAAATCTAGTGAGACAACTCACAATCAGTTCTCAAAACACCCAGGGAATTTTGTAGTTGATGCTCGGCTTTTATAAAAGGTATCTGTCTCGGTCTCCAGTCACAAAACCTCCTTCAGAAATCTTAGAAACCAACCTGTCAACTTCATTTCAACTGCTTACTATTTTATTAGGATATGATCAATGTAGATCCTACACTTCTTCTTGAATAAGTCAGTTGGTTGATAAGTTAAAGTTCAAATTACCTAAACTACATATTATTTCATTTGTTACATTTATCACATTGAATACTACTAGCTACTGGGTGAAGTTTAGTTCAAATGATCATATGGAATCCTTTTGATTTGCAAACAATTCCCTAATTATTCTTTAAAAAGCCCCACACTCTCCCGTTTTGTAAACCACTGTCATTATCATCTAACTCCAGATCTTGATACCTATACGAAGATTGGCAGATATTATTAAAAGGCTGTGAAACTTTGCAAATTGTAGATATGGTGCTACAAACAAATTCTTTAGACTGTTTCAAATGCACTTGTCTGAAGTCTTAGTAGTGATAGTATCTGTCTGTCACAAGAATCAATGTTACACTGAGACTCGGTTAGTAGTTAATTATTTCAACGCTAGTCGTTCGTATCAAAAAACCAAACTACTTTATAAATTCAACATGCAAGTTTAGAAAATTGAAATCTTTTATACGGTATTTTTATCATCGATTATACACACAACTTCGCTAAATTCAAAGTGATGCTATTAAAACGAAAAGTGGACAATTGAGCACGGTGTTCAAGGAATAAGGATTGCTCAGACATTCTATCAAGAGCAATTGAAAGCAATGGTAAATCAAACAGACTGCTACAACGCATTCAGTAAAGAAAACTACAACAAACAAAACTTTGGTATGCATGGTGGGAAAATGTACGCAGCTATTCAATCGAAGTATGTTATATCCCAGACAAAAAGTATAAAATCGAAAGGCTCTGATCTTAGTTTGCTTAACAGGGATATCGGCGAAGGGACGATTTAGTATATACTAATGTTAATAAGGGTTTCAAATACATGGCTCAAAATTTACCTTCAACATTGATAATCGAGATTGACTGCCTGAATTTTCAACGCAAAGTGCAGTAGTTCAAGTTGTCATACTTCATAAGGGCACACAATGGTAGAGGAAATTCCAAAAGAACCATTACGAACAGAGATGTACGTGAGGAAGAATAATTTATTTATGCCCAAGTTTTATACTTATATCAATTTATGAGGAATTTGATGGCCGTGGGAGTTCACATTGAGTGGATGTATCTGAGTCACCTAGAACGATCAGGGACAAAAAAATCAATAATAGTCTCCATGATCGGAAACTTGCAGTCTACACCTCCCCAAGTAGTTCAAACAAACGGTCAGACTTCATGGAGTTATACCATGTTTTGGTTTAACCGCCCCTAACACTTTTCCAACCCAATTGTATGTCAGGTAATGTTACTCAATGTGGATGACGATGGCTGGGCATGAGTAACACATGACGACTTTACAAATTCACTCACTTACTTTCCGTTCTTACCTAACAACCTACGTCCAACTTCAGTATCAATCGTCTCATTGAAACACTCAGCATGGGGGATTGAAGGCAAATATATTTGGTTGAATACAGAGAGTCACTTCGGGTCTTCCTTATCTCAGAGCTGTGCTGTGCAGTTCATCTGTCCTTCGATCAACACGTAAATAGCATGCCCACAGCACAGATGATGTAGGCTGGCTAATTTCACATCGTCTAACAATCGACAGGAGTGAGTTGTATGTCAAATCAACCAAGACACCTTCCCAAGGTGTTTAGGAGACTTGACATTTTGTCAGCATCTTCATCTAGATTGACTACCGTCATGGTCATACTCTCAGTAAACGACACTGTTTCCTGGTAACAAACCCATCCCTAAATCATCAATTTTGACTAGGATTATATCTATTAGTACATCTATGATAAAATTAAAGAAATGTGGACAACGCTGATGAGACCGACTGGTGTCATCACTTCAGAAGATAAGTCTCCTAAATCTTTTACTATGCTGTGTAAGTCCAGTTAAAGTCATAATTGGCTTCCTGAGCTTACAGTTTCAGCTTGTTCAATCTTAGCCTTCTCCACGTACCATTCAACGTGTGATCAATCTACATCCAGATTTCCCATGCTGTGCAATGGTAAAGTAAATTTGCTTCCATGCAAGACTGTTGTTACAAACGAGTTAAACCTAGATATTAAACGAATCTTTTGTATTCATACAATAGTGGTGCTGTTGCTCATTCGTCTACGCGTTGGACACCCAACCGCAGGGTCACAGATTTGAACCCCGCTCCATCTACGAGATTAGAACAGACAGGTTAGATCACTTACCTTCATACAATAGACGTAGCTCACCGACAACTACATGGGGTCCCAATTGGTTTTTGAGTAGCATCATTGTATTCACACAATTAGCATTTATAGTAACTTCTATGTTGTAAACATTAACTAGGTTTAAGTCCATACACTTGCAAGGGTACTTTTATGAATTCTACAACTGGGAAACATTGACTCCATCCAATTTTTGTGCAAAATGTAAAACACCATTCGCATTTAGTAAAATTTTATCTTGTGCTTTCTATAGGTTCACGTAGAGACCGCCTTCAATTCTGCAAATGATAGCGAGTAAAAACCCACAGAGAATCGTTAGCTGCCCCATCTGAAGGAAATCACTAAGCTAGGCATTCTTGTATTTACCACAGGAATTGCAATAACGAGTTTTCAGTGATGCGGTCGAATGATAAGCATCTGACGCCTATTTGTAAGATCAGTGAGTCTCATGCGTTCACAGTGAGACAGCTTTGTGAATCATTGGTGAGTCAAGTTTGCATGGAGACTGGCACCTGAAGTCAATGAGTTATCTATTGCTATTACAAGTAATCAGTAAGTATCAAACCTCTCCCTTTACCATCGTACCGAAAGGTAGAGACTAGAACCTGGATACGATGAATTTGCTGAAGCTCATGTAACACGGTTACTTCTCGATACACTGAGCATCAAGGGAAGAAAAAGTTGTTGTAGAGCGATAAAAACAAACTGAGACGAATATTGCCATGGACTAAAAATTAATGCTCTACTGATTCGTCTTCCAAACAACAGTCTGATAAGTGGAGACTGTATCAAATTAAATTAAGCAGAAAGACCATGGATAAAGTAAAAAATAGGGTACTGGAAGATTACCGGAAATTCGCATACAGCTTAGTGTGCACGCATCTGACATCTGCCTGTTGCCAACAATATGAGAGCTGACGTTTTACTAGAAAACCCGAAAGAAAATACTTCGAGTACTTGTACAGCTATTCACTCGCAACTGGTTACACGAAGCTAGATCCGCCGAAGTTTAAGACCAAATATACGACAGTCCGGTAAAGCAGAATAAGCACGAACTAAGTACAGCCAACTCAACTATATCCAGCTGATCCATAAAACTCCTATTAACATTTTCACATTAAAAGACCGATGCCTTTAAAGTCACTCATCACTTTGAAGAAAAAGACGGGTAAGCTAGTAGTTAACTGCACAGAGATACAACGTTCCTCAAGATAATCAGTTGCTACATGAGGCAAGATATTTTCACCTGTTTCCAGCTTCCACAAATGTCACAATGTATTACGGCCAGCAAGTCCAGAGTAAAGCAATAAACTGATTTTAATAAGTCAAGCAGATATTAATTAACTTGGGGAAACAAGTTCGAGAACAGCTGGAATTCTATGCAAGTTACGCTAAGTAGCAACTCAGCAAATCAAGTGCAAAAGATAGTGATATAACACATTCAAAAAGCAAAAACCGAGGCTGCTTAAATATTTATTTGTTTTTAGAAAAGTCTTCTGAAATCTAAACAAAATTAGAGCAATATGTCCTTACAACTTACAAGAGAAGCAATGGAGACATAATATCACAAGATATGGTTTTATACTGTTAGTATATTGGATTTTGAACTGCAAAGGTGATAATGATTAAGGGAGTTCAACTTCCTACTTTACTTAATAAAACTATACAAACAAGAATGATTTATTTTATTTTGCAGTGGCAAAAGGTATATACAGAGACTCAAAAGCAACATAAATAAAGATAATTGAAGTATGTTGACGAAATATATGTGTTAAATGATTTTCTGAACATTGAAGTAGGGCGAGATTAATGTTATTAGTTGATAGGTGGTTTACTGTTAATCAAGTTTTGTTTTTTGAATTAGTGCGGAATACATTTTATTGGTGGCTGGAAATTACACATTATGTCGAAGGAAAGCCAAAATTTAGTTCACAGCTATTTTTGACGGGCTAAATAACGCAACTACAGAGTATCAGGTTGCGAATATTTCTGAAAGTCGCTCACAATTAGGCATGTGCATTTGCATGGCCCTTTCATAACTAGCATCATCACCGTAATACCTTGCACGGAATAGAAGATTTTCTTCTGTAAATAAAGAGAAAAACCGTTAAACCGATATGAGCATAGAAATAAAAAACCATCACATGTACGCCATGTTGAAGATATTGAGTTTAACTTTACATTATCAAATCAAAGTGTGACCCTATACTGAAACCAAGCTTTCATTTAACTAGCACTCTCACTGGTATACCAAGCTGATAACTGAGAGTAACACTTACCTTTCGGAGACTTATAATATTGCTGTTACATACGACTGCAATGGATGAAAACCAATCTAAATAAGTCACCTATACAATAGTTTCACTTAGTTTTTCCGCAAATGTGGAATTTTTTCGCGTGCGAAACCATCAAATAAAAGACTGACTTAATTCAATTAACACATAATTATTCATTTTTAAATACTGAAAAACGATCTATTAATGTGCGTATGAGAAGTTTTGATGTAGACGTGAAAATTTTTTATGTAAGTTATTAGAATAAAATGGTCAAAAACAAATATTTCCTAGACTGCTTATTCCGACTGAACCTCTATAAATAGAACTGGGTACATTCAAATTTGAGTAGCTAACAATCTTGTCACTAAGTAGAAGCTACGAGTAAAAATATGCCCTTAACTGTACTTTAAAATAGCTAAAAAAGTTCAGTTGATAATTAAAAATAAATACATGCAGAAAAATCGACAGACTCACTGTAATCCTTCTCACGGAAGCACCTAAACCGGAGATTGCTAATATATTCTTCTTCTACTTGATTCTCCAAATGAACAATATTCCCGGAGAAATCTTGTTCGAATGTTTTTTTAACAAAATAGGGTAGTTTGTGAGTTCCAGTTTGCCGCTCTATGTAGTATTTGCTAAATAAATGACAATAAATATGAGATATATTAGTTATTTTCAAGCAGTCATAATAAACGTGAACAATAAGAAAAAGACGTAAACAGCGAAGAAATTTTCTTTTCGACGATTCATTTTCATTAGCCGGATCACAGTGGATATTTGTGTGTGTGCACACCGTCTGAACGAGTTAGTTAGAAGGAAGGACGACATTAGCCATCATTGTCTTTTCATAGTCTCCGCTTACGCCCCAACCGACTGCAGTTCGGATGAACTAAAGGATGATTTCCATCAGAAACTGTCCAGTTTGTTGCAAAATGCAAAACGTCCAGATATAGTTGTTTTAGCAGGCGACTGCAATGCTCAAGTAGGGAAGTTATGCCAAACTGAGAAGTATTTAGGTGGTGCCTACGGAGTTCCCTGTCGAAGAACCGACAACGGTGATCGTCTTCTACAGTTATTTTCAGATAATCATCTGTTCCAAATCAATAACTACTCTAGGCACAAAGAGAGACACTGATTAACCTGGCGACCACCATCACTAAATCAACGTTCTATTTAAATAGACCAGATAGCAATAGGCTATGGCTGAGGAGGGTTAGTAGAAGACTCCCGCTCCTTCTGAAAGACGTGCGTAGGCTCTGATCACGTCTAGGTGCGCGCATGTTTATGCTTACGATTATATGGACATAAGAAAACTATTGGTAGCGAAGCAGTTACGTCCTCAACTTGATCAGGACGCTGAATCGCTATTTAAGGAAGATATAGGTAAACGCGTAACTGAGATCGATAGCAAGACTTTTGAAAAAGCCTGGCACAATACACAGTTAGCTGTAGGCACAGCTGTAAAAGCTGTTAATACCCTAAAAACAAAAGTTAGCAAGAGGTAGTGGCTTTTCACTGATTAACGCAAGAAGACTAATTCCGGCGAGCTCCGAACATGATGAGGAGCGGGTGATGCTCAAACGCAAACTAACTACAAGTCTTCGTAACGACCGTGAACAGTGATGAGTGACAAAAAGCAAAAGAAATGGAAAGGTATCGCCGATAGGTAACACCACACAACAGGGAAACAGGTGTTAAAGGACAAACAATAAGTGATGCAATCTCCGGGAAAAACGGCACCAAAATTAGCTCCCAAGATATACTAATGGAACGTTGGAAAGAACATTTTGAGCAGCAATTTAATTGGTCTACGGCCACACACACACATCAAATGAATAGGATATAAACACAGGTCCACCATCCCCAACTGAGTTTACAACGGCTCTCGCTAATAGGAAAAGGCGCAAAGCGGCGGAACCTGATGGAATGACTTCAGCGGTGTTTAAGGGAGGTGGAGATAGTTTATTGTCTGGTGTTAACTAAGGTACTAGGCAGTGTCTGGGAATCAGAGACAATCCTGTCGGCCTGGTTAAAGTCATGGATTATCCCGATATACAAGAAGGGAGACAAGTCTTCGCGTGATGGTTACAGGGGTATCAGATTGACCAATATGGTATCTAAAGTTCTAGGCTCAATAATCCTGCGTAGACTAAGTGGTGCTCTGGAGGAACAAACACGAGAGAACCAGACAGGCTCTAGAACAGGAACCCCTTGACAATTACACTGGAACAGGCATACTTACTGGCGTCCAAAAATAGTCATATTTCTTGACCTGAAAGTTACATTCAATTCCGTCGACCGAGAGGTTCTATGGCAATGTTTGATTGCGTAAGGAATTCCGAGAAAAAATATCACACTGATCAAGACACTCTACATGAACTCATGCAGTCAGCCAGGTGGGAGCCTACGGAGAGCTGTCATCTGACAAGTGTGGTGACAACCAGTGGTGTCCGTCAGGGATGCCCACTATCCCCATTTCTGTTTAATTCCATAACAGATATCGTACTAATGGACTCAACTCTAACTAACTTCAGAGACTCAAGGATTGACTTGTTACCAAGGAATAATCTCGTCGACTCAGAATATGCGGTTGATATAGTCCTCCCTCCTAGGGGAAGACGCTGACAGAATGCAGTCTTCTGAACACCTTGAGGTTCAATCTACGAGTGTTTGTCATGTGATCCGCTCCTGTCAAATGCAAGATGATGCTACAGGACTGGACTAAATTGACCCCAAGCCTAGAAGTAGGAAGTTAAGTGGTAGAACACGTTGACCACTTCACTTATTTGGGAAATACCATCAGCCCCAACGGGTTGATCTCTGACGAAATCTCAGCATATGCCAGTTTACGCCGTCTCTGACGTAGATGTGATATCCAGCTGACCGTCGTTCAAATGGCATGTGTAATGCTTAGCAATCCGCCCCGTCCTCTTATATGGCTAGCTGTTAGACACGGTCATTGAAAGTAGAAGATATGAAAAGCCCAGCTGTTTTTGATCAGAGGTGCCTGTGTTTCATCTCATGTGTGAAGTGGTATAATAGGGTGAGCAATATTGAGATTAGGCTTCGGACGAGTGCTAGGTAAGGAGGGGAAATCAATCGATGAGGCCGTGAAGCTACATCGACTGAGATGTTTAGGACATGTGTTGCGTATGCCTAGTCATCACCTTCCTCGACGGGCAATGTTAGCTGACATAGGGTCAGGTTGGGAAATAGCCAGTGGTGATCAAACCAAAACATGACATCAGTCAATGGAATTCCCAAGTTAGTTTGAGCCAGCCACATAGGTGTCCTCGGGATGGTAAGAACCAATGGCTGGAGACAATCCGGAAGTACATTTGCTGATCGAACATATCTCTGTTCTTCTTAAAGACCAAGTGAGACTGGTTGAATTTCTCGAAAACACTTCACATACGGTGGCTGTTAATTGGAAAATATATGATGGAAGACACTTAAAGTGTTTGTTATTACTCTCGACCATGAGGCTAGTAATTTGTTTCAATAGCCGACTAATTTATTTCTCGAGGCAAAAGACTTGCTAACCATATTCCGTTATTCTAGCCCACTAACCGTGCCTAGATAAGTCTTTTGTCTCTACTACTTTGCACATTAGCCTTTCTATGCTTAAAAAGACCCAGTGACTAATCTGTACCTCCACAAATCAATCGTTCAGTGCTTGCGTCAAACGAGGAAAAGTCCATATGACCGTTTTGGTTAAATTGTGGTCACCGTACTATACAAACATGCATCAAACTTTCCATGGATTCCATTTGGATTTTGCTGTTTTCGTCACAGCCAACTTGGGTTGATACCCAAGCACTATCGTTTTTATTTTAAGCAAATTTTCGAATTTTTTGTAAGTCTAGAAAGAAGCATTAAATTCACCCCTCTATGCTTATTATAATGCATCCCTAAGTTTTTCTGTACCACTGTGAAGCTGAACAACCTGAGTTTCGGTGGTTTGAATGATTTTTTTACGCTATCAAACTAATAATTTCAAAAAGGGCTTGAAGGAAACTTAGTTCGACAAATTACACAGGTGACTGAAAAATGATCTGAAATCACCTTACTGACCATGAATTTGTAACGCAATATATTCTTCACGTCAGCAAAAAACTTCAAAAAACGAATACTTACAGTAAGAATTATTCGATAACCAAAAAATGGCAGCAAAACGGTACCTTTGTGAGAATGGTGTGTTCATTGCAAACTCACAACTGATCCTTCATATAACCAACTTGGTCACATTTAAAGTTTAAACGACATTATGAATGAAAATATTTATGTGAATACTCATGCCTCATAAACTCAGTATTTAAAAATGTTATTAAAATTCGAACATGATAGAGTTCTTATCTCGATTTAAGTGGTAAGAAACAGTAATTTTATTCGTATTAAAAAAAAAATTAAAAACTAACACTTTCAATGACAATCTCCTATAAAAAATGTGTCGACGGAAGAAAGTGTAGCGCAATCACCAGATTCTTATCCAAAGGGATTGTTTACTTTTGAAAAGAAAGAATAAACACATTTATCCAAGAGGAGGCAAAGTATTTGATTGACATTGTTACTGCTGCGGTCATGTGACGTAGGAAATTGAGTACTTATATGGCTTAGGTCAGACGTGATAACTAGATTCGAGAAAAAATGTACAATGCTATACATGTACGGTGTCCTCTGAAGTGAATTATATGGATGATAAATAGCAAATAATATCCACAAGCTGCTCAAGTACCAGAGACAACTGTAAGAATTGGCAGATAATTGGTTGTGTTAATGCCCGTGATGAGCACAAGCCGTTATCAGGTCCACGAGATCACAAAATATCCCGGTGATCAAACGAGTAATACTTAGGATATGACGAAAAAAAGGCGAGTTGCTAGTTATTTTTTGAACACAACTAGTAAAACAAATACCCTTCTCAACAATTAACAAATCTGACCGGATGCAAAGTCTGTGAATGCACTTACTTTGATTTAGTTAAACTAAAGTACGGGTCTTTCACGAAGAGGTTACTGAAGAATGATAGGCCAAATAAAATAATAAGTGGTACCAACTGAATGTAGACAAAGTAGTTACTCTGAAAGGAATAGGAGCAAGCATTGATATTATACTTGAATGCGTGAATATGTATATGACGAATAATAGAGTTGTATATCAAAAAGAAAAAAACATCACACAGCTAAAATAGGCAGTAAACTTGACAGAAACTCGAACAACACATCTTTTTCAGACCCTAATAACTTATTGTCACTCCTTGTCTAACAAGTAATATGGTGCGTTACCAGCCACGTATATTGCACTATCTCAGTAGGAGGAACAACTGAACCTGATGATGGAATGAGTGTTCACACAAACAGGGGTGTTTTTGAGACGGCTCCATACAGGTAAGATACCAACTGAGAAGCTGAAATCTGGTCTACTGACTCTCTGAGTGCAACGTAGAAAGTTAATTTTTATATCATATTGATGCCAGTTACCTAAAAAACGAGGCGGTGAAACGCTTCATAACTTCTAGATAACGCCTATTTTGTGTGAATTAGTCACTGCAGAGATATTATTGACCTAACTAATTTAAGCGTTTACTTTAACACTATGACTAGACTACATATATGGTTAGCCTCAAACATCTTACTCCGTACCCTTATTAAGTGAGGGATTTGCTGGTTGTTACTGCAGCTTCTGTCTCTCACCGAAAGTAAATTGAGTGTGGCGAACACCATGTTTAACCTAGATTGCAAACGCATCTCTCATTGCTGCTATTTCCAGCTTCAATTATTCTTCGACGTCTTTGCATAGTGCCTGTATTATGTGACCCATACTTCATCATCTGTGTGACTCAAACAAGGAGAGAAACGCAGGATCCAAGCAGCCGGCCATATGCTTCGTCTATTTTTGTTCTTCTGTTATGAGTCCACAAAATGACAACCGTTTCTCTCACTGAATAACCGCGAGGATGAGACTGACATTTTATGAAGGCCTACCAGTTCACTTTGCAACCGATTTGAAATATTTCATTTAAAGAAGTAGTAGCAGTGAGACTGATAAGAACATGCCACTGAAATCACCACCATCCACTATGGATTTGAATGATTTTCAGAGCCAATTATATACGGCTATGCGCACACTGACAAAAGCCATAGTAGGTAGCTGGCATCCTTGTATTCTACAATAGTGCATACTGACTCAAGCCATTTAAGGTGTGATATGACACTTGATCATTTTTAATAAGCAATAATGGCTATTCCAAAAAAACAGGTGACCTATGGGAGTGTTACACTGAAATAACGAAAAAAGACTCACTTCACGCTCTGATTCGCGGGACCTCTGTCGTGTGTGTCGATGATCCCGGTATACTTGCGAGAATGGGAATCCTCCATTGAAAAACATGGTAAATACGTCAGCTATATGGGTAACAGAGAAAAGAACAACCTTACCATCATACTGGAAGAATGTATCACCATGTCTATGAACTTGCGGAGACCTCACTTGCTCTTCGTCAGCACCGAACTGGTCATATCGTTGTCTTTTCTCTGGATCCATCAAGACTTCGGAAGCTTTCTTGATCTTTTTAAAGGCTTCAGCTGCTTCTGGAGCACTATTTTTGTCCGGGTGAAACTTTAACGCAAGGCTGAAAAGGTCAGAAGCGGAGTCTAACTCACATTCGATATGCTTTCTTGATTTCTTCATCTGATGCAGTCCGAGACACTCCAAGGATCTCGTAATAGTCTTTACAGCTAAGTACCTTCCTGAGGGAATCCACTTGGGTCTTCGTAAACTCGTTTCCTGATTGCCTCCTTTTACTGGACTCTGGAGTGCGTTCAGGTGAGCCTTGAGATTCTTGTGACCCTTCCCTTACACTAGATGATCGGGACCTGGGCCGTATCAAGAATTCCAGACCTAGAAATGTAATCGTCTGAATTAAACGAACCTTCGTAAGTGACATATGGGTCAAGTTTCAAGGCTTTTAAAAGAAATTTCTTCGCCGCATCACGTTCACCCACAGACAAACGTCTCCTAGCTATAAGAATACACTTCTGCGCCTCATCTTTGTTAGCATTCATATCTGCAGATAGTTAACGCACAGGAAACCCAACGGCGCGCCTAAATCGTATGAACAAACAAAAAGTTGAAGATGAGATTGATGCAATTACAGAAACTCGGATTTTGAATTGAGATGACATATAAGCTGGTTGATGTTTCAGTCCTTGTGAGAATACCAAACCAGACTGCAATTTTCCAAATTCACTCGAATTCTGGTCCATGCATCCATATATACCTTATTTTGTGACATGTCCAGCAACGCTGCCTTCTCGAGAAAAGTCAATCGACAAAACTAGTGTGACTTAATAAAAGAACACTGCGTAAGCCATAGTGGGTAGAAGTTCGGAAGGTCTACCTGTACTTCTTGCTTGTATACCAAATGCCACTTTTCTCAAACCACTATGCATGAGGGATTGTGCGTCACTTACAAGAATTTCTCAAGCTCATAAATGGACAAGCCAAAATATGCTCAGGAGAAGCTTTGGCTACTTTTTCTCATATTCCTGTAATTTTTAGCAACCTTTTCGCATTCTAGACGGTTAATTGTAGAAATGAGAAATGGAAATAAATTTCACGTTGTTTATTAGACAAAAACTCCATGTTCCAACTTATGCCATGGCAGCTAGACCGCCACTCAGCATATTTAGAACGGTTGTCTCAAAACCAGCTAACCAGGTGAGCTGAGATAAATGGAGAGGCCTGAAATACAAGCCCCTTGGGAGCATTTAGGTGGGTTGGGATAGAGTCAGCAGGTAGTTTAATCAAAGATGGGCATTCAAAAATTATGCGTGTTTTTACTGGTTGAGGCCACCTGGAAGTGAGCCAGCAGTCGTGCAAGCGACTCACCTAACAGTTTTCCTAGTGTTAGTGAACCTGACGCTATCTGTGCAGACACAGCCCATTCTTTTTCTAATATCGTTATCCAAAGCCTGCTATGCTAAACCGACATGTTTCTTGCTCCTAACTGTTCGGCAGTCATAATCCTGTACAGCTACTTATCATTCCAATTCAAGTCATCATTGTTAAACTCTTTCTGGAAACTACTTAAAACAATCGGATGAAATCACACTAACTGATGGTATCAGAATGTGCTGCATAATAGACACACACACGAGACACGAAGTTACCCAGGTGACTTTGGATTCATTTTGATTTCTTTATCAGTGCGAATCCTGCAGCTATCCTAAGCTTTGTCTAGCATTCATTTTTGTTGGCGCTCAGCGCTTTCATATCGTTGTTTCAAATCTCAGGATACATTAGGTTGGTGAACTTGGACCTTATTACCCTTATTTTCACTCAGCATGCGCTAGTTAGCTAAACCAAAGCAAAGTTATTCACGTGAACGCATAATTTACTACAACGCCTAAGCCGACGATTAGTGAAGGAGTACATGGCAGTGTTCTTCGCCCGATGCTATACCTCTTATTCATAAATGACAGTCTCTACGATCAAATATGGCAAGCCATATCTCTTCTCAGATGATCGCAGGCAAGTATATGATTATGGATACGCTTACATAAATGCTGAAAGTAAGGTTCAAAACGGCTTAGACATTCTAGGCGATTGGAACTAAAAAGTGGCAACTGACTTTCAATTCAGACAAGTGCGATTTAGCCTATTTGGGACGCTGGAAACAGAGAACGTATCTGTATGCGTACGGTGACCTACCATCAGAACTAAACACGGTCACAAATCTTAGGATAACATTCTCAGAGTTAAACCACCCTCACCATGAAAATAGGGTGGTATCTGACTGCAAACAACTTACTGGCTTTGTTCTGCTTCACTTTTACTCCCAAGAAGCAAGATAAGCTATATATATATATAAGACATGTATTCGCCAAAAACTTGAATATTGTGCTTTACTATATAGTGACCTAAGGTTAGCAGACCGAAAAATGTCGAAATTGTTCAGAAATTCATCACGAAACGTATTATAGGGTTTGACCAACAAGTGGGATATGTTGGCAGGTACATATGACTAAAATTAGAAACCCTATGGTTAAGGAGAGTGAAATGCAACTTATTTCTACTCGTCGAAGTCATCAGGAAACATTGTTACAGTAATCCATCCATAAAGTGGGCAAATGTTAAATCACATCATTTGCAAAACCACGACCAGCTTCTCAAGGTGGCTACTCACAGAAAAAGCATTAGGGCAAACTTTTTCACCATTGAATATTCCACTCTGCAGAACCGACTACCATCTGAGGTCAGATGTTTTGAATAGCCTGGTGGGTTCAAACGGAGTCTAGGAAGGCACAATAACATCCCCACCCTAGCTCGAGTAACAGACCACAACTGCTGGTAGAATGGTGGATGGAAGCCAGTCTGGTCTTTAGTGTAGTCAATTACATCTATCCCAGCCCCACTATTTATTCATCGGACGTTTAATCAACTTTCTGATTTTCTCCTCCCTACAGTATTCAATAAGTTGGGTAACTCTAGGTATCTCTAGAAACAAATATATTGTAGTGAGAGCTGTCTGCAAGCCAAAATTACAGACAACGATTTACATCAGTGTTTACATCCTAAATCAGGGTCGTGAGAAAAAACAATAACTAAGCCTAATCTTGAAGAACCCATCAACTAATCACAGCAGACTTGTGCAAATGGAATTCGCAGATATATAACTTAACTTTCTGACAAACTTTCACAAGCAGTACAGCATAACCCACCGCAAGAAAACAACCAATCAGGAGAAGTTGCTTCTCCGCTGACAATAATGTACATACAAATCCATAAATATCTCTTGATTTTCTCAATAAGCGATATGTTGCCTGGCCCTTGTCTTCTGTCTTTGCAATATTAGCAATCATGTCTTTTAATATTTTACATACATACAGCTACTGATAGAATCCTCTTCTGTGCTGAAATGACGACCTTCAATCAATAGCTATCCATTTTAATACACTTTTCTGAGATTTCTAATGTTAAAACATTTTGTGTCATTTTTTCCATAGCATAAGTTGATGGGTTACCTTGCAATGTCTAAGGCATACCATCTTAAAATCGGTCATAAATTATTTAGCATAACAAGTTTTGCTAACCAGATGTTTTTCTTAGGACCGTTCTACATAATTTTGTCATTAATTGTCGCCTGCTCAGCTTCTTGTCAAGATGCTAGCTCATGGGCCGGATACGAATTCGAGGGACAACTTACAGGTGAGCTTGTCCTACAGGCACTAATCTTTCAGATCTTTGAAGCCACTTCTCACTGAAATATTACTTATATATTTCATGATAATATTTTATCTTAGTACTAACTTTGTCCTACTTTTCCACGTGATTTTCGCTTTTAATTATTTTATCTCGTATTCTCACTTTTAGGTAATATTTTTAGTATCACTGATTGCTACCATAAATAGCAACAGATTTTATATCTAAATTTGCTTGTCTAGTCGCTAGATATTATCTTTGCTGTTTTTTACTGTTTCAGTTTACTATTTAAGGTATTACCACATCGAGTACCCTACCTGAAGTGCCCATATTACAATGGTTTTTTTGACATAACGTCAAATAACCTAAGACTCATATACTTGCACTCCAGCAGCTCTGTACTAACTTTACACAAAATGCCTATTAAGTTATCGAAGCGTTGTGCTTCATTATCGGCTGAAAACTTCAGCAAAAGACAGAAATCTAGTTCGACTAAACAGCATGGTAATACACCTTCCTCTGATCTGACACGGAAGCTAAATAAATGCAGGTCAGATATTATTACTTCTTCACCGTCTCGTGTAATAAGTGATTTTATGAGGGATGTATGCAGTAGTACAGGTTGTGAGACAAGTATTATGAATACCTACCAAGCCACACTTGATCTCAACAAAAGGTTTGACGTGGCTGAATCCACACCGACCAAGTTCCCGGCTTGGAACTGTCAGTCAGGGGTCCGAACATATATAAATTCCCCCTATCATTTGTACCTACTAATATCAATTCTTTTGGATGTGTCAAAAGAAATGGTAACTCCTCTGAATGCTTTGTAACCAGGGACGTCAACCTAGATAATCCTTGCAATACACAGGCAGATTTGCGTCGTCTACTTATTTCCAATTGGATGCTTTTAGGCACGGTACACATGTGCCAGTACAGAAGGTAGATTGTAACACCACCTCTATTGTTACTGATAAAGCCGTCCATCGTAAAAATTTCCATTGGTCATCAACGACACATGGACGTCAACCTAATGCCGAATTTGAAAAAGCAAATAGCTCATTATCTCAGCAGAACACATCCACCCAAGCTAAAAACCTGGAAAGTACAAACATTCTTCCATTAGTCCTTGATCTCTTACCTCTTAGGCATCTGGTTAAGCCTGCTGATTACCCTGACAATGATATATTACAGTTATGTGAGAGAATTACGGCAGTGATAAAGCGCGTTCAATGCATGTATAATGCAATGGTTTTAAATGTGCCCGACAGTTTTAACACCTTCGAAGGGATGTTCAATAATAGATTCCTATCGTACCTGCAAATGATTGCGTGAAGCCTAATCTAATACGTCCTGTCCAATAATGTATGAACATAATGGTATTGCGGATGCAAGCCGCTTTGTAAACAAAAATCACCATTTTAGGACAGTGAGTAGCTTTAAGAAAATACGTATTATTCACGACAGGGCACCAATCCAACGTCGTGCCAAGCGAAGAATTCCAGCAGGACAAATCAGTCACCAAAAAGATACTGCCAGCCCCATTGATGTCAATACAAAACCACTCCGTAACCTTAAAAGAAGTCCTCCACCTAGTTAACCTAAAGTGAAGCTTGATATGGTTACCAGTACTAAATCCAGCACTTCTCCAGTTGTGATACAACCTGGAAAGCACTCACATGCTGCAAAAGTTACTAACACAAATCATACCAGCTGTGCTAAAATTATCGAAAATCCTTGTGACACCTTGCCAATTAATCCTAAGATTCGGAGTAAAACTGTAAGGAACAGAATTCCTATGCCTGGCATACACTCTGTCAAGTCTGATTCGGTGTCCTCTATTTCTCATGTGTTTAAATCT